GAATGGATGGATGAGACTGGATGATTGGATGAATGGATGGATGGATGGATGGAATGGAGGATAGATGGATGGATGGATAGATGGATGGATGGATGGATGGATGGATGGATGGATGGACTGGATGAATGGATGGATGGATGGATGGTGGATGGATTGGATGGATGGATGGATGGATGGATGGATGGATGGATGGATGAGATGGATGGATGATGGATGGAATGGATGAGATGGATGGATGGATGGATGGATGGATGGATGGATGGATGGAATGGATCGGATGGATGGATGAATGGATGGATGGATAGATTGGATGGATGAAATGGATGCTGATGGATGGATGGATGGAACTGGATGGATGGATGGAGTGGATGATAAATGTGGTGTGTACGATCCATAGCATTAAGGGCGCTAGTAAGTTATGACCGTGTCTGACGCGTAAACCCTAGTGTACGCGGCATACTTTGTTATTGAGTTATACATAGCGTACATATAAAGAGAGTCGCTGATAGTATACAGCTGTTGTTGTGTTCTTTGTAATATGAAGTCCGATAGACGTTTAGCAAAGGGCTGTTACATATACACTGGCACGCGTAAAGCACTATAGCGATCACGGGTAGCAAGCAGCTTCCGGCTACACTGGCGGCATGTAGTAATCGATTCCTCTTATCAACTTCCCTGTAGAAATCCTATTTCTCATGGCCATGGTCGCATGCTAGATTGCAGCTTAAATTACGCTAGATTGCACTAAGAATTACGCAAGATTGCGACTCGTTTCCGCGCGACAGCGAACGAGCAGAATGCCTTGATAACGATAATTTTAGATAGAAAATCAGGGCCAAATGACAAGGTGAAGACGTGCCTGATGCGAAGGCTTCGTCAACTGCGAGAATCCATGAAGACGCGTGTTGCGATGGATAGAGGCGTATATAATAAAACGGTCGCGGTGGTGTGATTCGTACATTTACAATAATTATCCATGACAAGGCTCTGCGTTAATTACGGCCTAGTAACGTCTCTCTTAGTATATATATATATATATATATATATATATATACGCACACACACGCACACACACACGCAACACATCACACGCACGACACACATACACACACACACAGCACACACATACATACACACACTCACACACACACACACACACACACACACACACACACACACACACACACACACACACACACACACACACACACACACACACACACGTGTGTCGTGTAAAATTTACGACACCGTTGTATTTTTTAAATCACTAGGCGAGAATGCGATATTATGATTGAATACTCATGCAGCGATAGTGTGCCAATCTATACGGTGGCACTAGCATACTACGGTCTACAGCCCTCGCTAGAACACAATAACACAAAAGCTCTGCATACATAACAAGATACACAAACGCTCTACTGCTGTTCGCCCTATTTGTACGTTGAGACGTTTCTTTAATAATTTCTCTTCTTTCTCAAATTAGATTTGTATACATTGACTTCTTCTGGCTCGACCTCGCGGCGGTTATCACCATGGCAACGCGACGCGTTTGTCACCAGAACCAGCCGTGGCTTGCGTGGGCCATCCCGGAGTCTGAGGCATAATCCCCGTCGTCATCGTGATGTGGTGGGATGACTCCCTGCACGGTTGGATCCGTGTGCACGATGACGCAACACGCCAGGCGATTTCCGGCGTTGCCCGTGCTCTTACTACCGACATCCCCGCCTTTCCCGAGATCGTCCTCGGCAGCGTGCACCTGAAGCGGATGGCACACCACGTGACTGATGATAGCGATTACGTCACGGTACATGTAACAACCACGCGAATAATGTCGATATATAAATAAATAAATAAATAATATTTAAAAAAAATACCTACACCCACACCCACACTCACACCCCCCCCCCACACACAGACACACACACACACACACACACACACACACACACACAC